GGTAGGCTCCCTGTGCGTAGTCGCGGAAGACAAGATCCTTCCCCAGCGTCACCACCGCCGTGACCGATGCCGCCTGCTTCACATCCGTCCCTGTTGTGTGGACCTGATCAAAGAACGTAAAGCGCCGCGTGAGCGCTACACCAGACTGCGCCACTGGAACCTTCAGTCCGTTGCTGCGCTGCAGGATCATTTGCCGATCTTTACTGTCAAGGAACACAACACCGTCAAAGAGGGCGGGGGACAGCCTGGAGAGCAGGTACCGGGCGACATCCTCGTTCTCCATGTTTGTAATCAATGCCCCAGCATCGATGAGGGCGTGATATGGGGGATGGGCTGTGGCGATGCGGTCTAGCACCCGCGACGGCGTCCAATCCAGCGGCAGCACCTCTGTGGTGACAACCAACGGGTCGGTGAGGACCGACAGCACCCTCCCATCACTGCCGGGCTCGTAGAAGCACTCCCCGAGGTCACGCGGGAGAAGGTTGCTGGGCGTCCCACTGAATCCAAGGCGCCTCGTAAAAAGCATGGAGGAGCCGAGCTCGTGTCCACAGGCACTGATCTTCATGCCTTGAAAGTTCATCGTGCGTGGAAAGACGTGGGAGCATAAGTAATAGTGCACCACCTCTGGCAGGTAGCGGAGGCGGTGGTGTAAGGCGCGTATCGCCACCTCATCCGTCACCTGCAGCTGCGAAAGTGGAATGCCTGAACGATCGTGGGTGGAGGCGTTTCTTGGCGTGTGAAACGGCAATGTGGCTCCCACGCCTGCTGCAGCGGCCACTGGAAATGGTGCTACCACGTTGTGTGAGGTGTGGCACCCGTCCTGCACCTCGACGGACACGCTGAGACGCAGCCAGTGGTGGTACAGCCGCGCCGCCGGGCGATGTTCCTTCGGCCCTGACTGTCGTGCAAAGTCCTGTTTCAACTGCAGCAGCAACGCCTTGAGGTCGGTGAAGCGCATGCCCTCGTAGCGAAAGGCCAGCACGGTTAGCCCAATCACAACATCGGGGTGGGCAAATTCGGAGCTGCGGCTGGGCACATCCTTTGCGACAAACGGAATCGCCATCAGACGCCGGCTCATCGGCATCCGCTCCCGCTCCTCCACCGGCACGGTGTCCATGTCCTGTGGCTGCAGAAGGCCAAAACCCACACGGTCAATCTTCGCCAAGACGTGCGGAAGAAGGCGGTGAAGCCAGTCGTGGGCAAGGCACAGCAGCTGAATCGCAAAGGGACTGAAGTTCGCATTTATGGCAGACCCAACAGCACTCTCCCGGTCAGGGCGCACGGGATGAAGCAAAAACTCGGTTGTGCCTGCAAGGAAGGACTGCCAGTTCAATGTGGCTGCAAACGATGCGGTGGATGCGTGAAGGCCAAGCCGGCTCACCCGCTGGATCTCGTGAAACAGCCAGAGCTGCGCCCACGGAAGCAATGCCGGGAGCAAAAGGCGTTGGTAGTACGCGTGGTCCAGCAGCACAAGATGCGGTTCCCGCTGCAGAGCCCGCGTTTCATACCCTTTCCCAATGGCATCGCGGATCGCATGCAGCAGCGTTTGTTGCAGGTTGTGCCGCTCCTCCAATTCCCCACCCTCCTCTGGGAGAAGTTCTCCCACACGCCCTCGTCCAGTGTCGCGGGTGAGTGAAACGTCAAAGACCGTCGTGCCAGTCATCGCCGCGGAAGATGTTCGGCCGCGCTGGTAAAAGAACACTGCATCGAGCAGGTGAATCGGCAACGTCCAGCGGGGGCCACTCAAGTCAATGGGGTGCTTCAGCCCAATGGGGAAGTTCAACTCGGAGCGAAGCGGGTGCAGCAGGACATCTACCTCGTCCATGATGAGCACCCCGCACTGCCACAGTTGAATGATGGGTGTGATGGCGTCCGCCATGGCGGAGCGCTGTTGTGTGCGGCGAAGCAGCCCACGTGCTTGGGCCGCCACGCGCTCGTCGGCGTTGCCGTGCACGGCGTCCAGCTCCTCTGTGGGCGTCGTCGCAATCAGGTGCATCTGCTCAATTGCCTTGAGAAAGACGGATTTTATGCACTCCGGGGAGGAGATGAGAATGGCGCGCGTCTTTGCTGCAGCGACCAGCTTCTGCTGCAGCAGCGCAACGCTGTTCGCGTCCGTCTCGTCGAAGGCGCGGTCAAACTGCAGGGTGTAAATTTGCTTCGGCACCACCACACTGAAGCAGCGACGCAGAATCCCACGCGTCTGCTCCAGTAGGGCAGTTGGCATCACCTGCGTGACGAGCTGGGCCCCGTCGGCAAGGATCAGCGCGAGCAGCGGGCCAACGACCGTCGTCTTGCCCTGCCCCATGATCATCTGCTGCACCCGCGACACCCCGGCGCGGGCGTTGTCGACGAACCACCGCACCATCTCCACCTGGCGGGCACGCAGGAGGATGTTGTGCAGGAACTCAAACAGAAGGTAGCGCGGATCCAGCGAGAACGCGTCCCGCGCCGCAGCGCCGCCCACCACGGCGTAGTGCCGCCTGGCGTTGAGAAGCTCGACAGTCTCGTTCTCCAGCTGCAGCATTCGCCCCTCCAACAACGCCACCACGTCCTCCGACAAGACGCGCAACCTGCCACCTCTGTTGCTGCCGCTGCTGTCACCGCCGCTCGTCGGTTGCATGCCGCCCCACCCCAATGCATTCACGTCCACGCCAACGGAGAAGTGCCGCAAGAGCTCCTGCAGTCGTGCCCGGCTGCTGCCTGCGCCCGGCCCCAGGTCGTGGTTATCACCTTCGCCGAGGGTTGCACCGCGGATGCGTGCACAGAGCTCGAGAAAAAGCACAAGCTCTTGCACGGACTGCTTCGCCTGCTGCGCCATGTAGCTACGGTTGGCGAGGAGCATCAAGAGAACAAGTTCCGCCTTTAGCTGCTCGATATCCCCATGAAACGGGTTTGCCGCCCGCAAGTCGGCCGCCATGTCGCTGCTTAGCAAGGCGCCCAGCAGCCACTCCAGTGGAACGGCAGACCGACAGCCTTGCATTCGTTGCAGTCGGTACTCCCGCACACGCGCCCCAACAACGTCATAGTCATCATTTGCATCGTCATTGCTGGCGTCGTTGTCGCGTTCACTCTTGGCGGGAACGCAAATATCATTGGCAAGGCGCAAAGCCGACGCGGTGAGCTCCAGCACGTCTGCCGCATCCGCCGTGCTTACGCTGGAGAGAGCTGCCATGCACTTCTGCAGCTCCGCCGCCGACGTTCTGAGTATGTCCTCGACGACGGTCACACGACTGTCGCAAAGAACCACGCGCAGGCGCTCGCGTGTGAGAGTTGAGAGGAAGTAGTGCACCTTCCGCCGCTGCTGCTGCGCAAACCGATCGGCGTCCTCCTCAAGCCGCGTTAGCAGGTGCCTTGCAAGGGGAGTGCCGCACTGCGCATGCTGGTGAAGGTCAAACGGCAGTCGCAAACGCCCCCCGCCACTGTTCTCATCGCCACCGCCACCACCGTGCAAACCCCCGCTGTTATCGCCACACATGGCAGCAGCACGCTCGCTGTGAATAAAGGAGGAGAGCAGCTCCAAATCGCCCAGGGGTGCGCCAAGGAGGGCCGCCACTCGCCCCCGCATCTTCACTACATCCGCTGCCGTGGTTTGCTCCTCCACTTCACTCTGCGTCACCCACGCCCACTGCGAGGTCGCAGGCAGCGCATGAAACGACAGCTGCAGCTGCTCCATACTTGTGTTCGCTGGAATGATACGTGACTGCAAATGGTCCGTCATGCGAACATACAGCTCTCTGTTCCTGGCAGTAAAACCCTGACTGCGTTGCAGCCGCTCCCGCTGCCGCAGCACCGCCTCGTGCCTCTCAAATACCCCACGCGCCACATCATTGACGGTCTGGTAGAGGCGCACAAGGACGTGCGGCGTCGTGGACAATCCGTGCGCTTCGGTGGACGCTGTCAGGTTGACGCCCTGGCGCATGCGGTAGAGCACACGCGTCTCCGTCACTACTTCCGGCCAACCAGCGGAGGGCACAAGGTCAATCAGCTGCAGCACGGTGCTGCCCCACGACGGCTGCACACTCGTCTCGCCATCCAGCTGCGTCTCCCGCCCCCAGCGGGCGTGCCGCAGCTGAAACCACCGACTGAGTAGCTGCCCCAACGTCACATGCACATCCTCGCCAAAGAGCTTTGTTGTCAGCAGGCCATTTTTTAAGCAGTACAAAAAGTAAAAGCCCAACTTGCTGTTTGCCCCAGTCTCCTCATCGAGAAGCAACTTATCTGCCCAGAGAAACTCCACTAGAGCTTCCTCCTGCAGATCGTCCGCCTCAGGGGCCTCGTAGGTGAGGCGCCGAAGCCTTTGCGGCTCAATACGGGACCACGGGAAGAGCAGCAGGCGCTCCCAGGGGTACCCACAGCGGTTCATCGTCGGAGGCTTCATCTTCACCGCCACACCACGAGAGATCGCAAAGGCAGGCGGTGTCAGCTTCTGCTCCTCCTTCACCAGAGCAGCCCACAGCTGCAGTTGGGCACGAACAATGGGGGTCGCCTTGGAACAACGTCGGAGAAGGTCCAGAACCTCATCCCGAGTCAGCTGGCATGCCTGGGAGACGTGCCGCTTCTTGCACAAATATCCGGCAAGGTCAAGGTGCAGGGGCCAGGGAAGCTCCTGTGGGCCGTACTGGATGGCGTGTGCCAGCTTGAGTCGCACGGCGTGGGCGTCAGGAAACTTGTCCGGAAGCGTCCGCTCCATAAGGCCAAACATGAACGCCTCTTCCACGCTGAAGGCGCAGTCTGTGTAACAGGATTCCAATGTCCGCATCGCGCCCGTGTAGTGGCGTGTGGCACACTGCACAACGGCGTAGTACAATGCGGCACCGAGCGTGGGTGGTGTGAGAAAACTTCCACACGGGTGCACCGCAAACACGTAAAACGGGGACGCCACAGCCTCCTGCCAACGCAGTGAGGAGCGGTCGAAGAGCAGCAGTGGGCTGAATGGGTCATCCCGCACCTGCATCGCGGTGAAGTCGTGGTTTGGCACCATCAGGGCAAACCCGCCGGTGCCGTTGCACAGCGTCAGGCACTCCTGAAACGGACGTTGCAGGTTACGCAAAAAGTCACCGACGCCGCCACGCCGCACACGGCGTGGGATATCATTGGCTTCGGCCACATACCAGCCGGGGTGATCGACGAGGTGCAGACGCAGGTGGCCGGTGGCGGTGTCAACGTGTGGCTGAAACTTCGCGCGAAGTCGTGGAAGCTCGATGGACACGACGTCCGCCATCGTCACAGCGTCCGCCTCGCACTGTTCGTCACCTCTGTGTGGCGGCTGCTGCGACAAAACGCGGCCCCACACCAAGACGTGTGAGCAGTCCTCCAGCTTCGTTACCAGCTGCAGCAACGGGGCAAGCGTGCGGTTCTGCAGGAGACTCAGCAGCACAAGTTCTTGTCCCTGCAGCGCCTCTCCCGTCGAGCCCCGCAGCGGAGTGCCTTCTTTACGCATATCCTCCTCCTCCACAGAAGCATTCGGGATGAGTTCAGCTGCTTCCGCCGCCGCCTTCCCTGTGACGCTTTGCTGCTCCCTCGCCTCCACAGCGGCAATCGTGTCGTGGTTGATCGGGTCGTACGCCCACTGAATTGCCGCCGCAACGTCCCCGCGCAGATGCCGCAGCAGCCAGCGGCAAGTCGCGTCCGATAGGGGCGTCAGTGCACTCCGCAGCAACGCCGCCTGTGCATCGCTGACGTCCTCGCCGTCCTCCTCTGCGCCCACTGCAGGTGCTCTGTTCCCCGTCGCACAGCTGTCGCCACGGCGTCGTTCCCCACCGCGCGTGCTCCGGTGTGCGGCGCCTTCCAGTCGCGTGACCACGCAGTCCGCCTTACCGGGCCGCAGCCGCACCTCCAAGGCGTAGTTGAACCAGTAGTCATGCGTTTCCCCCATGCTGTAGCCACGAATGACGGTGTCATTTTCCTCGTCCTGCCAAAAGAGAAACGCCTCGAGGAGTGCGCTGGGCAACAGTCCCTGGAGCAACCGCGCCGGCAGATACATCTCCCGCACCTCAAGTTGGGCGTTGTAGCGATGAATTTCTATGCAGCTCTCACACCGCACCCGCCGCGTTAGCTCCCCGGCTTGGAATGCCGTGAGGTACAGCTGTTCCCGCTCCCGCGGCCGCTTCACCAGTGCGAGGCTGTGCAGACAGTAGCGCTGATTCGACGTGAAGACGAGGGAGCGGTACATCTTGCGGCCGTGTGAGACGAGGTTAAACACGTGGAAGTGTGGCGCAGGATGCTTGTACGCAATCAACTCCTTCCACGTGGCTCGCTCGTCCTCATCTTCATACTGCGGGGCATCGTTCATGACGAAGCGCATCACCCGCACCGCACTTCCTGCACCATCCTCATGCTGCTCCTCTGCTGCGGCGTCGCGCGCCTCTGCGACGGGAAAGTACTTCATGCTGGCCCCGGGAAACACCTCCCGCAGCACCGCCCGCACAAGGTCCACCGCCCACCGCTCCGCACGCACTGGCCATGGCGCCTCATCGTAGACGTCGACAAGGCGGTTAAACGTGACGCCGTCGTAGGAGGCCGCAAGCACCGGGCCCTTTGGAAGTTCGCCCTGCAGCACAAGCGGGGTGTGTACGCCCTGATCCAGTGGACTGGGCGCCGTCCATTCCATGACGTCAAACGGTGTGCCAACAACATGCACCCAGTGACGGTGTCTGTGACGCATCACGAGACCGCATTGCAGCACATCGTGGCCGAGGATTGTCTCAAAGTCAGTAAAGTGCGACATGCTGTCGGGCACCGGCTTGAGCTCGTCGTTGCGCCAGAACAGTTCACAGGTGTGCACGTGGAAGACCAGGCCTGTCGCAGCGGGCCCGCGATAAACGCCAGGCGAACACAGTACCCACGACGACGACACCGTCTCCTCGAGGGATGACTGCGCACGAATTGCACCGGAGTCTCTGGCGCCCAATAACGACGGTGCATCACCCTCCATGGTCCCAGCAGTGGCGTTGTTGTCAGCGGCAACCTCTGGGTCGTGGATGTGGTCGCGGAGCACCACTTTTA